TTTGCACAGAACAAAGGGGTACTGCATGGTTTAAAATCAGCAAGGGTGTGCATCAGGCTTGTATCCTTTCAACATACTTACTCATTCTGTATGCTGAGCACATATTCTGAGAAGCTGGAGTATATGAAGAATATAATGCAGCATCAAGATTGGAGGAAGACTCATTAATAAATAAACAGTGATAAGCAGATGACACAACCTTGCTTTCTGTGGAACTGAAGATGACTAGAAGCACTTACTGATCTAGAACAAGGACTACGGCCTTCATTATGGGTTGCACCTCAACATAAAACAACAGTCTTCACAAATGGACCAATAAACAACATTATGATCAGTGGAGAAAAGATGGAAATTGTCAGATTTCATTTTATGTGAATCCACAGTTAACACCTGTGGAAGCTGCAATCAGGAAGTCAAATGATACATTACATTGGGTATATAGATTGCAAAAGATCTTTAAAGTGTCGAAAGCAAAGATGTCACTTTTAAGACCCAAGGGATTGTCTTTCAGTCTCATATGCATGCTAAAGGTGAACAGTGAATAAGAAAGACACCACAGAAATGATGTATTTGAATTCTGGTGTTGGTGAAGAATATAGAATGTACCATAGAATGTACCATGGACTGCTCTACCAGTCTGTCTTGGAGGAAGTACAGCAGGAATGATCTTTGGAAGCAAGAATGGCCAGATTTTGTCTCCCGTGCTTGGGTCAAATTGTCAGAAGGGGTTAGTCTCTGGAGAAAGGATTTTATGCTTGGTAAAGTGGAGGGTCAGTGAAAAAGGGATAACTCAATGACATGGATTGACACAGTGGCAGTGACAGTGGCCTCAACCATGCCAACGATTGTGTGGATGATGCAGGATTGGGGAGTGTTTCTTTCTGTTGTACATAGGGTCACTATGAGTCAAAACTGACTCAGTGGGACCTAGTCTCAATAAAATCCTGGTCTTTGTAACTAACAGTGTCTGTAACTGAGTTGTATATGTGTCCATTTCTAAATTATTTCAGTATCATTAACCAAGTCATTCCTTTCTCAGCTAAGTATTCTGGGTAGATTTTATACCAAACTTGGTATAACACCATTTTCTCTTGTAGCATACAGTCCTATTCTTACGATTTTAATGGCACTTTTTCAGGTAATAGTGAAATTTTTATCTAGACTTTAAAAAAAAAAAAAAAAACCTACACTTAATCAGTAGGGCCAACAGCAGCTATTGTTGGCTATCTTTCTCTGGGGGTGGAAATGATTATTTAATTTGTAGCTGGTGTTGGAAGTTCATACTGAATTTCGTGTTATATTCCTTTTACCTTGAGTGTTACCAGAGTAGGTATGGTTTTTCTCCTCTTTTGCCACCTTTCATTATGTCTTCACAGTCATGTACCTTAAATAATTTTTTAAGGCATGGTCCACTTCAGCTTCCTTAGGAGAAGCTTTGTATTTGCATTTTGCCTAGTCAACAATTAATTTCTGTGGTGCGCAAAGCCTTCTAGCATTGCCAATCTTTTTAGATAAATTTTTCTTCGGAGTACTAGGGATAACTACTACATGTTTATGGGGCCGTTCCACAGATTCCAAGCATTTCTTGTTTTATTTTACTTAAGGCTGTTTACCATTGAAATAGGTATGGCTCACAAGAAAGGCCGAAGACTTTCATCCTTTTTTAGTCATTTTCATTTCCTTATTTATTGGACATGATTATGAATAGCTACTGTGCTTTAAAGAAGTACACTCAGTGGTCTAGGCCTTAAAACTGCCCTAAAATGATACGCAGTAGGTCAATGCCCTAACTTGCTTGCCATTTTTAATAAGCCTTTTAGGTAAATGTTCTTAAATACATGAGGAAGATTGGTCACATTATAGATAATTCATAAAATTGAAAAGTTTAATATATAGTTAATAATTTTTTTGTTGAGAATTTACTCAGCAAAAGTACATTAGTACACATTTCAACATGTGTAATCCAGTGGTACTGCTAACATTTTTTGAATTGTGCAACTGTTCTTACCCTCCTTTTCTTAATTGTTCTTTTCCATTATCATAAACCTTAAGATTCAAGTTGCTGTTGTCAGTTTGATTCCATGTAGACAGATCTTTAAAGAGCCTCTCAAGTGAGATATTCTTTACGAGTTAAGCTAAACAATTTGGTTTTAGGAAGATTTCAAAGGAAATCTTTGGTTCAGTGATTATTTGATGATTAAACCAAATTTTTGGCTTAATTATTTTAGGGCAGTAGTTTTTAGGCCTCATTCAGTCCCCATTGCTCCAGAGAGACTAGATTCCATGGGAATATTAAATTCTGTTCCCCTCTTTGATCTGGATTCTTCTGTAGAATCTTCAGTCAAAATGTCCAGCAATTGTATCAGAGCTTTTCAGGTTTCATCACAATGGAGGCATTTAGCCACACATTCCATTTCTTCCTGACTCTGAATTAGATATCAGTTGCTGTGACCTTTGATGGTCGTTTGCAGGTTTTTAAGACTCTAGGCACTACTGCAACAAAATAGGTAGACCTTAATCAATAATCTTGTTATTAGGTTATTTAACTGGGATATCCCATGAAATCTTGACCCTAAACCTCTAAGCCAAGGAACCAAATCTCATGAGGTGTCTGGCTGTACATAAGAAGCCTCAGCAGGAAATGTTTTGGGGGGTCATTGTAAATATACTCACCGTGCAGCTTTTGCCAAGTCAACTTTTTACGGGAGTGTGCTTCATTGACAACAATTACATTAGTTGTCTGTGCAGCCCTACCTTTCATTAATGTGATCTGTCACTGTAAACTGGAACTCAGTACTCCATAACAAATAACCCTCTCATTGCCCTCCCACCCCTGGTAAGCACTGATATACTTTGGTCTCTACATTTGTCTGTTCCTGTGAGATCATATAATATTTGTCTTAATTTCTTTTTTAATAGACTTTTAAAATAATACCTGTGGTCTTGTTGTGGTTGAGTAAGTAAAAAGCTACATAGCTAGGATTAGAGGGTCTTCTCCTCTCCCACTGCCCCCCAAAATTGTAGAACTGCTGTCCATTTAAGCGAAAAAAGAGTGGTTTTGTTGTGTGTGTTTTTAATTTTCAGTAATGTAAAAGGGGCAAATCAGGTCATTACTTGGTATCCTTACCAATCACTAAGATACTAAGTGTTTATATACATTATTTGGAATTTAAACTTCAATTGGAAACAGTAGGTAATTAACTACCAATATTTATGGCATAGTACATAAGGCATTTTAACTGCTAACTAGAAGGTTGGCAGTTTAAACCCACCAGCAGCTCCAAGGAAGGAAGGTGGGTCAGGGATATAGACCACCTTGCAAACCCAGTGTGGGTTGCTGTGAGTCAGAATGAACACGATGGCATTGAGTTGAGTTTTTTGATATATGTGCCAGGCACTGGATTTTAGTAAACAAGATAAATAACATAGTCCCTGCCCTGTTAGATCATTGAATAGAGTTTAGTTTTAAATTACTTAAGAGTTGATAGTATTTTTATATTAGGACCTGCAAAAAGGGCAAGGAGGCCATATGTTCTGACCTCCTCTAATCCCACAAGAGGAAGACAGAATCACCATCAATAGCCCAAGGCCTATTTCTGCGAGGCCAGATATGCTGCCTCCCTCCAGCCCTTTCTCCAACTGTTTCTCCCAGAGCACCCACCACCTCTCTCCTGGGTTCGATAATTCGCTGCAGTGGCCACACAGAACTCACAGATTATGGGATTTATTAGGGAAGCACCAGGCTACAATTGGAGTTCAGGAAAAACGCTCAGTCTCTCTCCCAGCCCACTGTCCCTCAGCCAACAGTCTCTCACAGTCTCTCTCCCAGCAGTGCGTGTTCCTCGGTGTCTCACTCAGCAATGTGTGTCTCTTGCGTCTCTTTCAGCAGCACGTCTTCCTCAACCAGCAGTCAGAGAGAGTTTTGCCTCTAGGGGGCCTCCTTTTGAGCTTGGCAGAATGGCCAAACCAACAATCAGAACAACAGAATTCTAAGCACCTGAGAGTCAGCCTCTCATAACATTGCATTGTGCCACACCCAACAGAAATAACCCAGGTGGATAATACTTACAATCAGGAGCTCCTCAGTTGCTCATTCCACCACTGAATTTACAATGACTTACGGGTAGAAAAGCCATACTAAGTAATTTACTATACTGCAGGACCCCAGATAACACATTTTCTTAGAACTATATGAAATGTCAAGTATAGCTAGAATCATGGAACTGGCTCGGGACCGTGTTTTGTTCTGCTGTGCTTAAGGTCTCTGGAGTCAGAGACGACTCAGCAGCATCTAACAACAACATGAAATATGTTTTTTTTTTTTTATTAAAAAAACAGGTATATAGTAAATTTAAAAAAATCACCACCCAGTGGTGGTATCTCTATGGAAGTAGATTACCCAGTCTTCCTTCCAAGGAGTGGCTGGTGGGTTTGTACCACCAGCCCTCTGATTAGCAGTCAGATGCCTTAGGCACTATGCCACTAGAGCTTCTAGGTATATAGTGAATATTAATTTTGTATTGTTCAAACTGATATTTCTTAGTAATGATTTTGTATGCTTCTGTTGAAAAGTTTATGGATTTAATTAAAGCTACCTCTTTTTTGCAGACCTAGTTTATTACAACTTTTTTTTTTTTTTTAATGTGTACTTTATTTGGCTTTATGCAATAAAGCTAAAGGTTATTCATTATGTTAAAATAAATGTAATGGCTGTGCTAATAATAGTGCTTTCATACAGAGGGACTTTTTCTTTACAGTGTTTTAAAGCCAGCCATACTATTGGATATGTGTATGTATGTATATAGTATATTCTTGAAGAAAAGTTGCCACAGCATTGAAATATATCATTAAAGAATGGATGGTTTTTCTGGCTTTTTGAGTGCACAAATAGAAATGATTGAGAGACAGTAGATATTTATGGTTTTATAAGGTCACTGTTTTTTAGATCTTGTTGGCTTAATGTTGGTGTGAAGGAATTCTGTTTTGCTTTTTTCCAATAGGATGTACAGTTACCCAGCACGTGTTCCTCCTCCTCCTCCTATTGCTCGGGCTGTAGTGCCCTCAAAACGCCAGCGTGTATCAGGAAACACCTCACGAAGGGGTAAAAGTGGCTTCAATTCCAAGAGTGGACAACGGGGATCTTCTTCCAAGTCTGGAAAATGTGAGTGTTTATTGCAACTTTCTAATTCTGATGTTTCTTATGTGTTGAAATGGAAAATTACTGTAGTTATAATGCTTAGTTCAGGAGCTCTGATAGCATAGTGCCTAAGGCACTTGACTACTAACCAGAAGGCTGGTGGTTCAAACCCACCAGCCACTCCTCAGAAGGAAGATTGGGCAATCTACTTCCATAGTGATACTGCCTCGGAAACTCAAGGAGGGGTTGCTATGAGTCAGGACCAACTCAGCGACACATAACAGCAACAACAATGCTTAGTTAGTTCTAGTACAAATGGCTTTGTTTAATGATAATAGTGAAAACAGAGAAAATAGTGATCAAGTACCAAACTCTATACTGCTTTTTATCCCTCAGAGCTTTGTAATTTGAAGAAAACCATTAGACTTTAGCGAGTTGAGGCACTCACTAAATTTTCACAGTGTTCCTTTGTGTAGTTTAGAAAGTAAATTGATTTATTGATTCCTGTCTGAGAGCTTGCAGTTACCGTCTTCATATTGAGCTTTTTGTAAGGTGAAAATATGTGAGTCAGTAAAACAGGACAGAGAGGTCCATTAAAATCAAATTGAGATCTTCAGCAGGCCCGTAAGAGATCCTGGATGGCACAGACATTTAAGCACTTGTTGCCTGAAAGGTTGATTGTTCAAATTCCCTGATGCACTTGTAAGGAAAAAGCCTTGGTAATCTACTTCTGAAAGTCATAACCGTTGAAAACCTTATGGCATGCAGTTCTACTCTGAAACATGTGGGGCGACCATGAGTTGGAATTGACAGATGGTAACTGGTTTGAATTTTTGGTGTATATGAATCAGGAGGCTTCTGCTAAGAGTGACTTAACCCTATTAGATTTCAGTTTTCAGCCACCATCTAAAAGGTTATTGCTTTCACCATGTAACTGGTTGTTGCTCCATTTCTCTATTGGGAGCTCCTGTTGGCTGCTGGCATTGTCTATGGGAATGTAATTGGTCTGGTAGTTTTTGTTTCATTTGATTGTAATCTAGGGTTTTGTTTACATTAAAGTGAAAGGAGATGATCTTCAGACCATTAAAAAGGAGTTGACTCAGATAAAACAAAAAGTCGATTCTCTACTGGAAAGCCTGGAAAAAATTGAGAAGGAACAGAGCAAACAAGGAGGTAAATTTTTTTGCTGTTTATTGGGTGTAAATTTGGGTTAGTACCTAAGATAGTTGAACATTTGTATTGGAATAGTGGGATATAAAGCAATTGAATATAACATTTGGAGAGTTTGAATTGGGAAGGGCATTTGTGTGGGAGGGAGACCTGTGCTGCAGTTCTACAATCATTAGTAGGGATTGTCTACATTCTGTGGACATTACTTGCCCCTAGACAGACTTGTCCTTCTCATCCCCAGTAGAGATGAAGAATGATAAGTCAGAAGAGGAGCAGAGCAGCAGCTCCCTGAAGAAAGATGAGACTAATGTGAAGATGGAGTCTGAGGGGGGTGCAGAGGACTCTGCTGAGGAGGGGGACCTACTGGATGATGATGATAATGAAGATCGGGGGGATGACCAGGTGAAAATCACGGGAAAGGAAAGAAAGAGGTGGTGGCGGGGGGATCAGGGACACATGGAGTGCCTCTAACTCCATCCTATTTGTGTCTGTTTCTCACAGCTGGAGTTGATCAAGGATGATGAAAAAGAGGCTGAGGAAGGAGAGGATGACAGAGACAGCGCCAATGGCGAGGATGACTCTTAAGCACATAGTGGGGTTTAGAAACTTAACCCATTATTTCTTTACCTAGGCGCTTGTCTAAGATCAAATTTTTCACCAGATCCTCTCCCCTAGTATCTTCAGCACATGCTCACTGTTCTCCCCATCCTTGTCCTTCCCATGTTCATTAATTCATACTGCCCTGCGCCTAGTCCCATTTTCACTTCCTTTGAAGCTCCTAGTAGTTATGTTAAGTCTGACCCTGTAATTTTTGCTTTTAATTTTGATACCTCTTTGACTTAACAATAAAAAGGATGTATGGTTTTTATCAACTGTCTCCAAAATAATCTCTTGTTATGCAGGGAGTACAGTTATCTCCATTCATTATGAGTTCAGTAGTTGCTTCCCTAACTGCAAAGGCAATCTCATTTAGTTGTGTAGCACCTGAGAGCAGTTTTGAGTTAGAGGTATGTGTGTTACACCCCACCTGAGTGCTGTGTGGGGCTTTTCAACACAAATGTAACAATGTATTTTTTGTGAATGAGAGTTGGCATGTCAAATGCATCCTTTAGAAAAATAATTAGTGTAATAGTCTTAAGATTTGTTTTCTAAAGTTGATACTGTGGGTTATTTTTGTGAACAGCCTGATGTTTGGGACCTTTTTTTCTCAAAATAAACAAGTCCTTATTAAACCAGGAATTTGGAGGAAAAAAAAAACCTGGTTTTTTATTTTTGTATTTTATAACTGTTTATTTCAGATTCTTTGTTTTACAGCCTGCCTCCACAATACCCCTGGAATGTACTAGATATATTTTGCTTGCATTCATAATCATTGTGCATATTAAATACACTACTCATACTTCATTGGGGGAAGATGTTGCTTAAGCAGATAAATAAGAATAGGGATTCTTTTATTACCTGGGTATAGAACAGTTTGGGGACTCCGACCTGCATTTTCATTCTGTGGTCCAGCTGACATCCTCTTAGAAATTTTTGTTGTGTGCTAAATACTTTTGTCCTTGAATATAGAAGAGGCTCAGGCAGCATCAGAATTACAGTAAAATTGAAGCAGCTGGAGAATGAAATACGTTCATTTTGACCCATTAGGTTGTTATTTATAGCCCCAGTTAGCTCCTTGGTCTATGTCTCAATGCTACTGAAAATAGGAAAGCTCTTTTTTGATCTTCTGTATCATATGCCTACCCAGGTAACTTAGAACATAATGAGGACTATTAGTTTATTTGTCTATCAGGTATATTGATGACATTTTGTTCATACGAATTTTTGGCACTCCATCCAACCTCATTAATTAGAATGACTTTTAGGCATGATACTGCTTACTAATAAGGATGGGTTTATTAAACAGCAGCCAGAGCTATGATGATTATCTAGTCCTGAAGGGCCCAGTTTATTTTATAGTTAACTTTTTCTCCTTGAGCAGTGGAAACATGGTTAATTTGACTGTTTTCACACACACAAAATTGGATCCCTCAGATAATTGCCATTGTTCTTAGAGCATGCACCTAAGGTAGTCATTGTATTCCTACTTCCTTTGAGCAGTGAATGAGAATAGCTCTTGGAATAGCCACAATTTGTGAAAGTCATGTCCATCCTTCTGACAGAGCTGGATAGAAGGAGGTGATTAAAACTACCATTGCAACCCAGATCTACAATATAGGTAATTTCTCTTACAATGTTAATTCATAGTAAAAAAATTACTCTACCCAACCTGTGGTCTGATCTGATGTGATCTCATGATACACAAACAACACACTCAGCACATAACCCATGACAAATAGATGCTTAGAAGAAAGTGTAAAAGGTCTAAATTGCTAATAAAACCAACTTGTTTAAGATTATAATGTTAGTTCCACTATCTAGAAGGTAATGGTTAAGTTAGTCCTGAACTGATGGTTTCCACTTGTATCTATTTGTAATTGTGTTCTGTCAGATTGTTCCTTTTAATTCCATAGGAATCCAGATACTGGAAGAAATCATGATAAGCCCTTTCAGTAGCTAAAGAGCATGACCCCACACATTCTCAGAAATGCTCTATATAAAATTATTACAGTAACTATCTAGTCCCTCTTAATGAGGAGTAGCCGTTTTACAATCTTCAAGCTACTATGAGTTAAATTTCCTCATGTAAATAAGAAGACAACACAGGCACAGTGCTTAAAGCTTCTGGGCTAACCAAAAAGTTGGCATTTAAAACCCACCAGCAACTCTGCAGGAAAAGATGAGATAGTCTGCTTTGTTAAGATGTACAGCAACCCTGTGAAGCAATTTTACTCTGTCCTATGGGGCCAGCTATGCCTCAGAATCTATTCAACGACAGCTGGTAAGGGTGGGTTTAGACCAGTACTGCACTAAAGTAAAAAATAGTCAAAAGATCATATGATGAAATATCTTTTGAGATCTGACCAAATGTAGATATTGTTAAGGACTTTGTTACCTGTGACGACATTTAACTCTGAGCCCCAGGAAACAAGATTAGAGTTTGTTCCATAGAAATTAATAGATGCAGAGCAGTAGGCAGAAATGACTTGATGGTTTTAGAATTGGCTGATAATTGTTCGAGGAGAATTGTGGGTAACTGACAGTCTCTGTGGGGCAATACATTGTTTAAAGAAAGTAAGATTTAAAACAAAGTAAAATTTGAAAGTGTTTTTATAAGACTCAGAATGTGGGGCTTTTCAATGTGCCATAAATTTTGTTCTGGGGACTCCTCATTGGTCTATGACAATCCTGACCACTGAATATCCTAGTTACTTGATTGTGAAAAGAGAGCTCATAAGCATTATGGACTTAAGCGGTCTGAAAGAATGAGCCACATTCATTTTTCTGTAAGGAAAATTCAACCGCACAAAGGTTAAATGGAGTTTGAATTTCTGGCCCATAATTTAGAGATCACCTCAGGTAAGAATAGAGGTCATTTCACTTAAATTTAGCAGGATTGAAGGAGGGGACAAAAACCTAGTAACTGAGAAACCATGTTGGAATAATAATAAATCAGGATACTGAAGTGAGGAGCAGTAAATGGCGTTATCTTTAAATGTTGGTTTGCTGTGGATTCCACAAATATTAAAGAATTTAAATACATCAGTGATATTCATTCTAATAAGGAACACTATGTTGGAGAGTATTAGTCTTTGGAAGGACTTTGATTTTAAGTAAAAATATGTCCAGTTAATTTCAGAGGTGTTGGAAAAATTTCAAATTTGAATTTTCATTAATCGAATTGATCTTAATGTAGTTAAAGTAAGTTAAGGAGAAAGCCTGAAAACAATAGTTACTAGTGGTTGCACTAGTAACTTTCCAGTTATCAAAGTTCAAAAAGAAAAGAATCCCAATCATGAGAAACAGTACCTGTTTAGAGTGTTCTAGCCTGGAAATTTATTCCCACATTTTAGATTGTTACTGTTAGTTGCCATCAAGTTGACTGACTGACTGTTGGTAACCTTATGTACAGCATAACAAAATGTTGGCTGGTCTTGTGTCTTAATTACCAGCATGCTTGAGCTACCATGCCAATACATCTCACCAAGGGCCCTCCCTCGTTGGCCTGATGCTTCACCAAATACATTGTCTTCTAGTGATTGATCCTTCCCAATGACTAATCTGAAGCAAGTGCCTTGGGTAGTGTTCTTTCATGATGCATAAAGTTTTCATTGGCTCATATTTAGAAGTAGATTTCCAGGCCTTTTTTATTAGTCTTGAAACCTGGTTGACCCAGCTGATACTTGAAATATAGTTAACAATCCAACTTTATAGCAACACATAAGGCAGTATAGTAAGAGAAACTTGACAGGTGAATGATTGACTCTTTGGATTAGAACCGTCGTTGTTAGTGCCGTCAAGTCAGACCTGACTCATAGTGACCCCTCCTTGGGTTTCCAACGCTGTATTGCTACAGAAGTAGTTTGCCCAACCTTCCTTCCAAGGAGTGGCTGGTGGGTTTGAACCACCAGCCTTCTGGTTAGCAGTCAAGTGCCTTAGGCACTATGCTACCAGAGCTCCTAGGATTAGAGCCAGAGGAAATGAAAGAAGGGGATAATGTAATGAGGTGGATACCTAAGACAACTAATTTAATAGGAATTGAAGGTCAAAATGGATGAAGAAAAGCATGTTACTCTTATTTCCATTCCTGAGCACGTAAGATGAGTTTTCACAGCACCACACCGGAGTTAAAAAGGTTTGAGGGGTTTGCCCCCTACAGGCCTTTGTCAAACCTAAAAACTTTGCAATAACAGTAATATTACTAGTAGTATATTATCAATTTGGTGAGGTAGCTGAGTGGCCGGCAACCATATTTGACTTTAAATTACCTAGGGGATCTTTTAAAATCTTGATGTTGAAGCTACCATCCCAGTTCAATTAAATCTCCGGTTGTGACCATAACATCAGTATTTTTCAAGCTTCTGTAATTGCGGTGTCCTCCCATGATGGGGAACCACTGCACTGAGATGGAAAAAATACTCCTGGGAGTGGAGGGTTAAGGAAGAACAAAGGGCTTTCAGAGTGCCTCTGGATGCCTAAGGGGAGGTTAGTAAAATAATCCCCATGCACGTGGGTAAATGCTAGTGTTTGTGGTAAGGAAAGGATGTGTGGTATGCTTTATTAAAGCAGTCTAGTGAGAGGGTGAGAGTACCTACATTGAAATCCATGCACCCACCCAAGGATGAAAAGCACCTAGGAGGGAACTGAGAAAAGAGTGAGAGAAAAGCTAAGTGAAGAGAGGGAGACATCCATGATCTCTGAGGTTACCACAACCTTAGTTAGCCTACCAATCTATACTATCAAAAATACAGCACTGTCTAATAGAACTCTGTGATGATGGAGATGTTTTATAATGCTGTGATCATCATGGTGGTCACTAACCACGTGGAGTTACCAAGCTCTTGACAAATGTGACTTACCAATTGGATTTAAAATTTTGTCTAATAAAATTTTAAAAGAAAAAATCCAAATCATGAGAAAAGAGTACTTGTGTGACTCATGGCTACCTTAGTGGATATCGCAGTACTAATACTGAGCAGTTTCTAACCAAGTACTGATTTGATTATCAACTCAGGAATTTTTGTGAATAAATATGACTGCTTCCAAGTGTTTCATGCCTTTATTTCATTGATAACACATTTCTAGGCTGTAGGTCCTAGCCCCTATCATTGAAAATTTCCCTATTATGAGGACATGTACAATTGAGGTAATGCATGTTGCTCACAGCTTCATTTAGCAACAACCCGTGGGACAGACAAAAATAAGATAGACTATACTGTGTTTTATAGGGTTGCCTAGGCTCCAAGCAGATACCATTTGCTTACAGGATGTT